AAAAAAAAAAATGTCGTAGCTCGAGTTTATTATGGTATTGTTTTCAGACATCATCTGACCGTCGCCCGACATTTGTGCTCTCAATCTTCTATATCACAATTCTATGTTTGTCTAACCATTAGGCAAGTCGACTCGTCATATATATTTTTCTAACAAAAAACATACTTATATTATAAAATGTCAAACTTTTATTTATTTTGTCTTTTATAATACGATATTTCAATATTTCAGCTTAAAATTATACATATCCGTTAAAAAAGTACGAATATCCAACTATTAGTCTTTGCCAGAGTTTCTATATATATATACACACCCAAATACAACACACACTACATTACTTCATTTTCACCTTTCTCCTTACATTAATCCTCAAACATATATACATATTTCCCATTCTCTTACATTTTTTTTTTTCCTCATCAACAAAAAGGCAAGAAGAGGTAGAGGTAAAAAGAATGTGGCAAGAAAGAAATTTCGACGAAAAACCGAACCTCCCGAAAACACACGTGTCGAGCTTTCACGGCCCCTCGGCCGCTAGTAAAACCCGACTGCAGCCGATTTTGTCCGGTGGGTTTGACGAGGTGGCGTCGGTTGTTCCTCCGGTGACGGTGGTGGTGGAGGGTCGGTCAATCTGCCACCGCATCAGCCTCCACAAGCACGGCGGCTACCGGAGCTTGGCCCTAGCTCTCAGGCAGATTTTTATAGATAATTATAATACTAATGTTGATTATTGTTGTAATAATAATAATAATAATAATAATAATAATAATAATAATAATAATAATAATAATAATAATAATAATAATAGTGAGGAAGATGAAATTTGTGGTATTGATCTATCAAATGCTGTGCCGGGGCATCTGATAGCGTATGAGGACATGGAAAATGATCTGCTTTTGGTCGGTGATCTAAATTGGAAGTAAGCATTATTTTTTTAAATTGCTATTATTAATATTATTATTAGTATTATTATTAGTATTATTGTTGTTGTTCTTGTTATATATTGAATATATGGATGAATTTCTCGAGTTTGTTTCATTACTAAGTACAAATTCTTGTGTAATACACGAAATAATCGTTAATTGAGTCGATCAGTCATATTTTGTTAACAAAAACTTATACTTTTTTTTTTTTAATATGAAATGTCACACTTTATATTTATATTGTATTTGTAGAGTGTAATATTTCTATTTGAAAGTGTAATTAAAAATGTGTTGAAAAAATATGGTTGCTTAAAAACTATTATTATTTATGTATTTTTGTTACTTAATTTTTCGGGCAAAATTAAAATGGAGAATTTTTGTAATGAATTTGCAGGGATTTTGTTAGGGTGGCCAAGAGAATCAGAATACTTCCGATAAAGGCTAAATCAAGAAAGCAAAAAGATGGGGAGTCAAATATTTGATCATTAATTTGTTGAATTTTTTCTATTTTAGTAAAAAAAAAAAGAAGAAGAACCACTCGTGAATATTTTTTTTTAATGTAATTTTTATATTTTGGCTCGTTAAAATTTGAGTTTAGTTTGTTCAATCCGATCGTTAATATTGTAACCGAGTCGAGCTTAAATTCGCTTATCGATATTAACTAACAAGCCAGCTTAACTTATATAGCTCGAGTCTTAGCTCAAATATCAGGAGCTCAAACTCGACTAATTTACACCCTTCATACTCAAAAGTGATTTATTGCAATATGCGTGGGTTAATCAGTCAATTTTTTATTTTCTTATAAAAACATTATTTTAAATATTGTTTATAAAGTATATCATTTAAATATTGTTAAAAAAAGCACATATCTACCTAACAATTAAACTATCAAGCAACAACCCATCACTATTATTTGGTGTTTAATTAGATTAGTGTGCCTAAATTGGGTTAGATTTTTGGGTGTCGGTGGCCACACTATAATTTAACATAGATATTGAGTTTCCAACTCGTACCATTGATTAATTTTATTTTACATTTAAAATAAAATAGTATATGACACGGTAATAAATTCCCCTATATATAATTCTCGAATGCGCTAAACTTACGTAGTTGCTTATGGTGCTTCGAAATTCTACTTGGCGCAGAATAATCATGCTTCGTAATTATGCTTGGACAAATAATATTAATGTATTAATAATTAATAATCTAGGTTCGGACATTTCATAAACATTATTTAGCTAACTTAGATTTTAATATCACTTGTACTAATATAACCTTTTAATTATTTGTATTTCACATAGTGAGACACTAAGTGACTAATATATCACTGACTTTTGATTTGCTTCCTTTAATTAGCTATTGAATTGTAAATGTATTTTAAAAGTTAATAACTTTTGTATTTCTTATCTGTTTTACATATATAATATATCAAATTAATTATTTTTTTATGATCTTCGATTTGACATCCATATTATATATATTAACTAAATAAATTATATTTATCTTTATAATAATAATAAAAATAATATTTATTTAAATTCATTATTAATATAAAATGAATTTTCAAGTGATATATTTATGTTTAATGTAGTTATATATTGTAAGGCTAAAAAATTATTATAATATAACACATGTAAAACGTACAAATAAAAAAGTGTCATACTAAATATATAATAATATATATATTTTTACAAAAGGTATTTAAATTTTAACTACTTTTTTTTCATTAATTTTATATTTTAAGAAAAAAATTAGCAAATACTCGATGTAATACACGGGGGTTGTACTAATTATATTTTAAGAAAAAATTAGCAAACACTCGATGTAATACACGGGGGTTGTACTAGTATCAATTAATGTGCTTTAAAGCAAAAATGTTGTATTCTGTTCTGCCAAATGAATTTAAATAATTTTTTTCAACTGAAAATTCTTGAAATTTGATTTTCAAAATAAATAGTATTTATATTTACGTGTTGGGTTAGATACAACAAGATACTATGGCTAAATGCTATAATGGTCCAAAATGAAATGACAAGTCAACTGCAACATAAATATTATCTATTTATTGTCAATAAAGCTGTCTACTTTATCCAATTCATTGAAATACTATTAGCATGTGATTAACTATAAATTAATTATTTTTGAGAATGTGTTAAAAACTTTTGAAGGAGAGCTTTGCCGCCCTTGTGATCCTACCCGGCTCAATTCCGGATTAGTCGGTTTCCCTGTGGATCTGGAAACCGAAAGGTCCCTGTACAAAAAAAAAAATATATATATATATAAATTAATTATTTCGAAAAAAAATGAAATTAAGGAAAAAAGTGACGATTTTTTTTTTTGGAAGGAATGGTAATCATTTGGATTGCAAAGTATGTGAAATAAAATCCGTGATTATAACTAATGAGATGCCAAATTATGAAAATAAAGAGTATAAATGAATGATAGTAACAAGGAATTTGATTGGAAGAAATGTAAGAATTTTGTTTTTTGTTTTTTAAAAAAATTTTGATTCAAATTTTATTTTCCTAAAACATTTATATTGAATCTTATTAGCTCATTTAGTTAACGGACACCAGTTCGAGTATTAGAAGCTCGAGATCGGTTCAACTCTGCTCGTTTACACCCTTGATACATGTTAAATTTCATGCAAATTAAATTCTCCATTTTTTCTTAATGCATATTCATATATAAAAAAAATTCTAATTATCAGTATATGGCTTCAAAGATAATAATCAGTATATGGCTTCAACTTGGAAGTCCGGATGACCTCAATATGGCCCCAAAATCTGATATTGATGGCATACCAATTAAAATTATATAACAGTTAATTTATTATTATTTGGTGTTTTAATTAACAATGCAACATAGAACTGTGAATATAGATTATAATAAATAAATAATTAATTCTACTTTCAATCAAAATGATTTAATTACAAAATATAATTTTTATTTTTTGGGGGGAAAAACATTCTGCCATAGAATCTATAGAATAAAACATTTAAATGCTAGTAACTATATACAGACTACATTTTTTTTTTTTTTTTTTTTTTTTTTACGGATATTTAATAGTGTGGACCATTGTTTTATCTAAAAAAAATTGATTAACTGTGCATGTGATGTGTACAAACACAAAATTTAAATGGTTTTTAAGATCAGTTGTCTTTTTCTTGGGTTTGGCTCTTTAATAATTCCATTTATGGTTGCAATGTATTTCATCTAACCAAACCCCACTTGTTAACAAAACATATGATCATCATTTCATTTCTATATTTCTTCAAGCAAATCGCATTTTAGATATTGGTTTTCAAAATGTAATTACTACTTCAAATTGAATTTATTCAAATAATATTGTCAAATCCAAAAGTGCCGCGTAACCAGGATGATCCCTAACTGGTGCGAAAAATCTCATCGTTTTATATTTTATCGTGACTTGTGGTACATTCGCGATTTTTACGCATTATTAGAACTGGTTAAAGAAACGAGCTCGTTAATTGGCTTGTGAGTTCAGTTTGTGACGTCAAGGTTTGAGATCGAGTTCATTTAAAACATGTTAAGTTAATAAGCCGAAACTCATTTAAAGCTCAATTGTTAGGCTTAATAAATAAATTCTTTTACACGATTTCCTATTTTTTTTAGCATAAGCCAATCAACAAGTTGAATTCAGTTCATTTACAAATCCGAACTAGTACTAATACTCATATACAACATAAATATTGAGTGAATAAATATATGTGTAAAGTTATTTATGTCTATTTTCAAACCTAACTTCAGAGCAAAAAATAATATATAAACAACATCACGAAACATAAATTTTCGCTATGTTAAAATTCGAAGCATGAAAATTTGTCATCTAAACTCAATACGTTTTGAATTATTATATAAGGAGGGATATCGTCCATCGTTGAGTATTATGTCATGAAATGCAATTTAGTGCCAAAAGGGCCAAACCTAACTAGAATCTATCTTGTCGGAGTTAATTTACATGTCGATTTCAGGTTCGTTCCACAAATTGATCCTTGTTCAGGCACGTGGCTTATTCTTTACGTCAGGATATTTCAAATGGGCCACATCACAACATGCAGCCCAATTAATTGTGAGACTGTATCATTGGGCCCGGAATTTAAGGGCCCACTGAG